CATCCATCAGTCTGACATCAAAGCCACCTTACTGACTTACACAGAAAAATCAGCCACTGTAATGGCTGGCTCAGTCGGAATAGTGGCTGAGCATAAGCTCTTCCACTGGCTCACCGAATTTACAGTGTGTTCATTAATTGTCGTGATACACTTTATTGTTAGATTATGCAGAGCCAACAGGAAATGGTGGTATATCATCTTGACTTCCAAATTGGTCGAAAACAGCTGGAAAGAGTAGCATAAAAATAAATAAATAAAGAACAAGCAACGGAAAGTTATAAACATGCGAATCCTAGTCTGTGATAGGTAAGATTTTTTTCATTAATTTGCTCATTTGTAGCCCTAAAGTTTACAGAATTAAAACATTAACTTTTCGGATTTGTTTTGTATTTAACTTGCTACGGATGGGTTCAACAGTCTAATTTTGTTTTGTCAGTGCTTTATGCACTGCATCGATTATTGAATACACCTTTTGCACTTAAACAAAGCACAGTCTGTAGGTGACTCTAACGATTTTGTAGTTACTTTGATATTGCTCTTAAAAGGTTAGCATAAGTGCGATGGATTGTGGCAAACTTGTTATATCCGTCGATTTGACTGCTGCAAGGCATAATGTAGAGAAATTTAAACTTTGAGATGAAATGTCATACAGTTTTGCAAATAGGTCATTTTTCAATGAGTCTTTCTCTCAATCCTCAGAGGTGTAGATCTCTTTTTTTTTTAACAAATCTTGTAATAAGCAGTCGTTTTGTTTATGTTTTAAGACTTTTTCCAGAAGTTCAGGGAATCTTGATGTTTCTCTGAACATAAACATATTCACTTGAATTTTCTACGCATATTTTGTTTGCTGGGGACATATTTTATTTACTGAATCTCTTGAGTACGGCTGAATGATTACTTGAAGAGATGATTATTTCTTCCTCAGTTGTTAGCTCGTCTTCTTGCAGAAACAGCTCTGTATTCACCTGTTCGCCAACAGAAAAATTCCTTGAAGAAAATTTGTTTCTTAATTTGTTTAACGATTAACTCATAATTCACCGTTTATCCATGCGGGCATAAGTGCGTTATAAAGTGCCGTTCCTTGTGTGACTTCTATATTTTTGAAATTGAATAAAGGCGGCAAGGGTTTGCCATTCGGAAGTTTCAGTCTTTGTTCTCTCAACTCGTCGAAGAAACTTGTAGCTAACGCATTCATACATGTTATACGTGAGCTCGGTCGATATTGTAGTAGTTGTGCGCATAGATCGATTGCAATTATTGGAGTACGCGTGGGAAGATATCCTTGTAATGTTCGTGGTTGTAATCGAACCCCTGTTAAATCAACATCACCTCTATACTGTGGATTCATTTCCACAATATCGTCACGCGTGGGAATTCCCATTATCCGAATAATCTTATACATTTGATCGGATGAATCATCACCGCGAAAAATTGGATATCCATTCAGGAATTCTGCTATCACAGTTCCTTAACCAGATATGAGCGAGTACACGCCTTTTCGAGTATGATTAACAAACAGATGAAAGCGAAACAAAGAAGGAAGATTAATATTTTTGTTAGTTACAGATTTATACTAAATTTCTCGATAGTTCTCTTTCATCTTTACGTCAAAAGATTCTCAAGTATCGCCAGTAATTGAATCAGATATCATGGATATGATAGATACACGAAAACAAAATGATTGACGTTTTTCAAAAAGCACAGATTGTAGATTAGTCATGCTTTCCTATTTTTGACCTCAAGTAACAAGAAAACAGTTATTTTGTTGTTGTTTTTCTTCAAATGCTCTGTTGGTTACTTACCGGCACTCCATGCATCAATAGCCACACTGTAGTCTATACAACCCAAAAGTAATTCTGGCGCACGATAATAGCGAGAACAAATGTAAGCAACGGATCTTTCGCCTTTGACAAGCCTTTTTGCACTTCCTAGATCACATAACTTAAGCACGCCGGCATCGTAATCTAATACCATATTGCTTGGTTTAACATCACGATGAGCAATACCTGAAAAGAAAAGAGTGTGAGACTTATTCTTCATTTAATTAATTATGTTAGATAGAGATTATCTTGTAGTGCCCTATCGATATAGATCAAATGAGTTCTTTTCTTTCAGACACTGGTATCCAAGCATAACATCTGTTTATGATCTTCATAGATTTAGTTTAAGATAGAAAAACCTACCTAACGAGTGAAGATAACCCAGTGCCCTTAACATTTGATAGCAAAATATTTTTGTATACAATAGTGGAGCTCGTCTATTTTGTTTTCGATAGTTTCTGATCAACATGTATGCACTCATTGGTAAAAATTCGAGTACCAGGCAAAGTACATCATGACCATTATCTGCTCTATTAAAATAAGACTTCAAATTAAATATATTTGTATGACTGACTTGTCTTAATATTTCTAATTCACGATTTTTGAAATGGCCTTCCATCTCAACTTCTTTTATTGCACATATTTCATTTGTTTGTTGTATTCTTGCACGATATACTCGTCCAAATGTACCCTGTCCAATTTTTTCACGATTTATGAATGTTAATTCTTGACGTTGACCACGTACTTCGTTCATATAAACAGTCACTCTTAGAGTAGCATTTGAACTAACACTTGTCTCGTCGTTAGCTTCTGGGTAATCTATAACTGTTTCAGAATGTTGTTGAGATTGCGGAATAGTACTTCTATCGACACCAGATAAGTCGACTAATCCAGATCCTTTTTCTATTTGAGTACTTGTTGTTGGACGACGTTGAGCCATAGAAGAAAATAAAGAGATTTGTAGAAAATTCAGTGATATTCAATTCCACTTACAAATGAGACACTTTGATGAAATATGCTTTAATTATGAATCAGTAAATTTTCAAGAGTTAATTAAATTCAAATGATTTATTGTGCAATATACGATCAGTTAACTACTGAACTTTTGACCATACAGACATTTTGTTAAAAACATAGAAGACAAAAATTTTCTCATTGTCATTCCTAGTTCATATGAAACAATCTCATCAAATCTCCATAATTTTCAACAAAGAGTTCTGTTGGATGATAACTAAAGTTGAAGAAAAAAAGACAACAAAAAAAATAATTTCTGAATTGTTTTTTTCGAATTGTTGTCTCAACTCATTCTGAATATGAAAACGTTAACTTTTTTTTTACTGATTTTCTAATTCCGGCGCCAGCCAGGTTTTTATGTTAATTTAAAGGTGAACAATAATTTAAATGTTTTTCAGTTGCTTACAATTTCGAAAGAAGAAGACTCAGATACTATCTAAAAGACGTTAATAGGTAATTTTAACGGTGATCTTATTCACGTGACGTATTTCTTTGTCTAGAAACACTTTTTATTTATGATATTTGATGTTCTTCTGTTTATGAAGCGTGTATTATGCAAGAATGTTTTGTACGCGGGACGCTTGAGATATATTGGAACTACTTCGTTTTCTTATTTATTTGAGAGAGCTGATTTTGTTTTAGATTGACTAGTGTTGTGTATATATATTGAGTTAAAACATAAACAAGAAATGCTTGAATTAGCTCAAAGTCTAGTATTAAATGAAGATGCCCTAAATAGTTTGCCGGAAAAAAAACGACCAGTATTTATCTATGAATGGTTATGTTTTTTGAACAAAGTTTTAGTAGCTGCACATAAGGTGAGACTATACGAATGTCTTATGCAGTGTTAATGAATTCTTTTTTGATTTTCTTAGAATGATATCCGTGAATGTCAACCAAAAATTGTTGAGCAATTGCTACAACAAATTAACTATGGACCTGGTCCACCCATTCGCACTCTGATTGGCAAAAATTTAGCTAATCTATTTAGCGTTGGAGACACATTTCCACTGTTCAATACAATCAATAAATGCAATGATATATTGAAGTTGAAAGATGATAATATGACAAATGCAAAATTGTGAGTGTTTATTCTTAATTTGTTAATTAGATCCTTATACTCATATTTTTCTATTTTAGAGCAACTGTTGTTGTTATTGGTGCATTGTATGAACGTTTAGGACGTTTAGTTGGACGTTCGTATGAAGAAACCGTTCATCTATTATTGCGTACGTTGAAAAGTACTGAATCACAGATGCGTATTGAAATTATGTTTACATTTGAAAAAATTGTCAACGGTCTTGGCTCAGCTGGTTCAACTACACAAAAAGAAATATATAGAGCAGCTAAATCTTCTGTGTGTGATCGTTCGATGCCCGTTCGATCGGCTGCAGCGATGGTAGGTAGTGAAAGTTTTATTATTATCTTTTTAAGCGTAATCTATCTTCTGTTTTTAGTGTCTGATTGCATTAATAAATCAGAATAACTTTATGTATACGACAGATTTGGATAATAATGTTTTATTAGGATTTCGTGCCTTAGACGGTTCAAATTATGATGTACGATGCTCGGTGGCAAAATATCTTGCGGCATTATTAGCTACGTCACAAAATCCACCATTATCGAACATGAATCAAAGTATAGAAACGAATAGACTGAGTGTTTTTTTATGTATATATTCGTTTTCCTTTTAGGTAGTCAGAAAGCGAATAGTAATACAAACAGTATTAGACGAGCTAAAACCGAAGACATATTAAATTATTTAGCTGGTGGTTTTCTTCGTGGTGGTAAGAAAACTCGAATCTATTTCTTTTTTATTTTTAACATATAGTTTTTCTTGTCTCAAACTTAAAAAAGGTGTTGGCTTTTTAAAAAGTAATACAACTGAACGAATTAAAGGACCAACAGCTGTTCAGCGTGAAATAAGAATTGGTGTCACACATACATATGTTGAATTAGCACGTTATTTGGGAACATCATGGTTAGAAAAAAATTTATCATTATTTATCGATCATGTATTAGAATTGGCTGGAAATCCCAGATCGTCAACGTCTCATGTTGATAGTGTCTATTCACGAAAATGTATCACATTTATTTTACGTTCAGTGATTGGTTCAATGCTTGGTGAAAAAGCACAATTCGCTGCTGCCAAAGAATTATGTTCAATAATTACACGTTATATTACACAACAACAATTGTCAGTAACGGCAGTTACGAGTACAACAACAACTTCAAATTCAGGAATTATCGATTCAACATCAACATCACTAAATTCAAGCACGACAAGTAGTAATCAATCTCCATCAACAACAGGATCGATGGTACAATCAATGAATGATTCCACCGTCTCTTTACCATCATCAGAATATACTCAACATATTTTAATATGTGCACTGCAGGAATTAAGTTCACTAATACAAAGTTTGGGTACATCTGCATCATTGCTATTACATGATAGTTGCAATGGTCTCATCGATACCTTACTCCTAGTATTGCTGAATTCATCACATGCCGTACGCTTATCATCGGCATGGTGTTTACGATCAATAACAACTGCATTACCATCATTAATGACTCCATTAATTGATCGATGTCTAGATAAAATGTATAAACTAATTAAAATAACAACATCGGCGAATTCAGACGCATTATCTGGTTACGGCTTAGCATTACAATCACTATTAGGCTCAGTTTATCTGTGTCCATTAGGTAATTAACTCTTTACTTCATACAACTACCCTGAAAACTCGAACTTACCAGGAAAAAATTCTTTTTAACTATCTTTACATATCGAATTTCCTGTTATATAGGTATCCCATCTCAACGAGGTAAATTAATATTTGATTTTGCTGATGATCTATTACGAACAACTACAACAACATCAGCAATTCAGCAGCAAGCATTGGTTCCTCGAATTATTATTCAACGTACACATACGGGCTGGCATTTATTAGCATCTTGTTGTACATTAGGACAACAATTTATTAAAAAATTTATTCCCTGTTTACTACTCTTATGGCGTAATGTATTTCCTCGTAGTGCACAAGATTTTGAACAAGAAAAATTACGTGGTGATATATTTACGTGGCAGTTATCGTTTAATCAACGTTCGGGTGCACTGTGTAGTATGATAAGCTTTCTATTAAATTGTTCGGCGATTAATGTATCACAGCAACAACAACAACAAACGTTCACTGAAGCTGAAAATATTGTTAATGATGATCTATTGAAACGAATGTTAAATCCAGTTGATAATGCAGCACAAATGTTGAGTCATTTACCCAATTTAGTTAAACAATACGGACCACAATTAAAAGCATCAACTGCTATGTTTCGATTACGTTTATATGAATTATTATTACTAATCCCAGTTAAATTTTTTGAACAACATTTTAACGTATTACTAAGGGAGTTAGTTGCAGAATTTACATTAACGGATAATTCGGCTAATACAACGACATCATTATTGAGATCTGTATGTCACGATAATGATAGCGTACTGTTAGGTAAGGTTTCATATCTCAATGGAACTGTGTATTGTTTTTTGAGTCGAAAAAGAATGTGTTGTAAGTTAAAGTCACTGTCACTAATGTTTGTGTTTTTCTTCAGGAAATTGGCTTCAGGAAACAGATTATCAAACGATAGAAGAACAACTACAACCGAATTCTGCAAGTGGATCTGGCGCATTGGAGCACGATGAAACATATTTATATCGTCGTGTAAATCCAATGAATACAAATAGTTTAACAAATTCTTCAATTATCAGTTCAAATATTATCAATTTACTTCGTACAACAACAAATGAAAACATAAATTATTCTCGTCCGGTAGAATTGAATGTACCGGGACCACTTCCATTAGGCGTGGCTGTTATTGATGCGTCAATATTATTATATGGCACGATGTTTGTTCGTGTACCGAATAAACATCGTTTACAAATGTTACAACATTTTGGAGATTGTATTAAACAATCGAAAGCTCAACGACAAGAAGCCGTTCAAGTGAACATATTTACTGCCGTGTTAACAGCTTTAAAATGTTTAGCAGAAACAAAATCATCGTTGGATGATGAAAATGTACGTAAATCAGCGTGTAATCTTGTTTTACAAACTCTAAGTAATAATAATCCAATATTGCGTTGTGCCGCTGGAGAAGCACTGGGACGTTTAACACAAGTCGTGGGTGATGGACGATTTGTAGCTGAGATAGCTCAGTTTTGTTTTGACCGTTTGAAAGAATATCGTGATATACCGTCGCGTACCGGCTATTCACTTGCACTTGGATGTTTACATCGTTATGTGGGAGGAATTGGAGCGGGACAACATTTAAATTTATCCGTATCAATATTATTAGCTCTTGCACAAGATTGTTCAGCTCCCATAGTACAAGTATGGTCATTACATGCTCTAGCATTGATAGCTGATTGTGGTGGACAAATGTTTCGTGGATATGTGGAACCAACATTAGCATTAATTTTGCATCTTCTCTTATCAGTACCATCATCACAAATTGATGTATTTCAATGCTGTGGACGTCTATTGGGTGCATTGATCATAACAATTGGACCAGAATTACAAGCAAATACAAATTATATTAGTATATTACGTTCATCTTGTTTGACTTCGTCGACACTTCTACAAATGCATATTGATCCAATTGTTCAAGCTGAAGCTATACAGTCACTACAACAACTACATTTATTTGCACCACGACACGTAAATTTGTCAACATTAGTTCCAGAATTAATAAAAGCTTTAAAAAGTCGAGATTTATCACTAAGACGAGCATGTGTATCTTGCCTTAGACAATTATCTCAACGAGAAGCCAAAGAAGTTAGTGAACATGCTAAAGTATTTATGAAAGAGTCATCTACAACAACAGGAACATTATCCGAATTTCATAGTTTAGAAGGTTTGTTTTTATACGTGCTCTTGTATTTTGTCAAAATATATTTTGTTTATTTTTAGAGTTATTATTTTCTATGCTCGATACGGAAACTGATTCAAAATTATGTTCAAATGTACAAGATACTTTAGTTTGTATGTTGCAAGCTTTGGGCGAAAATAACTTAAGTCATTGGCTATCATTATGCAAAGATGTATTAGCAGCGACAACCGGTAAATGAAAGTTGTATATTACTCTAGAACTATTCTTTACGTTATACTATTTTAGAAACAAGTAATCCAACATTATCTGAACCAGAACAACCATCGCAATCATCTTCGTCTCAGTCAACAATTCGTCCATCAAAAAATGTGACAAATGGTGATAATGATGATGAAGATAATTTTGATCTGAATGAAGATGATAGTGAAGACTATACGGATACGGGAGGTGAAGAACGTCTTCATACCAGTAAACAAAATTTTCGTCGTGCAACAAGTTCAGCAAAATGGCCAACAAAAGTATTTGCATCAGAATGTATTCAAAAATTAATTCGCTGTTGTGAAACAAGTACACAATTAAATGCATCGTTTCATTTTGATATGATTATGGCTAAAGAACGTATTAAAAAACATCAAAATGAAGATTATCTTATCTTGCATATTAATAATTTAGTTACTTTTTCATTTATGGCGTCAACATCGACCAGTGATCAATTACGTTTATCTGGACTTTCATTATTGAAAATAATTATTTTAAAATTTTCAAATGTTCAAGAAGATCAAGAGTTACCCGATCATGTTATTCTAGAACAATATCAAGCACAAGTGGGTGCAGCATTACGTCCAGCATTTTCCGCTGATACACCGTCTCATGTTACAGCAAAAGCATGCGATGTATGTAGTACGTGGATATCGAGTGGTGTTGCTCATGATATCAATGATTTAAGACGTGTTTATCAGTTATTAGTATCATCGTTGCAAAAATTTACATCAACAACAAAAATAACGCAACAACAACCGAGTACAACAAAAAATCCAAATAATAGTGAAACAATGATTTATAGTGAAAATGCATTAACAATAGAAAATTTAGCAGTATTAAAAGCATGGGCCGATGTTTATAATGAAGCAATGAAACAAGAACATCGAACAAATAAAAAACAAGATAGCAATTTATTGATGTTAGTACAACCAGAATTAAATGTATTAATACACCATTGGCTTGCTGCATTAACCGATTATGCAATATTAACATTACCAAGTGAATTTGGTGGACAAATAACAGATGAAAATAATAGTAATAATTCAACTATGGGTGGTACATTTTATTCAGCCGAGTCAATGGATATCGCACGTATTATTTATAAACATAATTGGTCAGCAATAATGCAAGCAACAACATTGTGGTTATGTGAACATCATTATGAATTAGATATATTACCAGCTAATCAAAAATTATTAGGTTTTAGACAAATGTATAATAGTTCTAAATCAATAGAACAAGATGATAATAATGGACAACAAGGAAATAAAACAACAAATAAAATAAAATTTTTACCAACAACAAATAATAATAATAATAGTAATTCAAACAAAATTCGAACATTTCCAGATAAAAAACAAGACATGTTTGCTATGTTACTTGGTAAGAGTTATTTTACTATAGAAAAAAAAAGTATCTTAAGAGTACCAAAAAGATGCTGACTAGCAAGCATTTTTCCTCCTCTCTGCACTCGTATAAAAACGAGATGCTATTAATCTATAGATACTCTCTAGCTTTGTCAGGGTATGAGGCTTTTTCTTATTACTTTCAATTTTCATCATTTAATATATCTATTTTAGGTTGTTGCATTGAAGCACTATCAATATCTTTAACCGATCAGACAATGGAAACGACCGATTCAATAATGAATTCTGTCATAAATCTTTTAAATTCAAAAATTGCATGTGAACAAATAAATAAAGCAATTTTGATTGAATTAATCAATGTTTTACATCGGTAAATGCGTCTAACATGAATATTCTCATAATATAATATTACATTATGTATTCGTTTAAGGTTATACTTTGTTCGTACTGATTTAGCGACACATTTAAGAATATTACAGATTATTGATCAAATATTTCATCTTGTTCCAATGTGTTCAAAAATTGAGAGTATGCCATAATTATTAAATGTCCACATCTAAATATATTAGATATTCTTTATCTTTTAGCTACAGAAGATAAACTAGTGCCTGGCGAATCATTTCTTTTCGCATCATTAGAATTAATTATATGTGTATTATTAAGTTATTATCCCGATGTTGGTGGTAATCTACAATTGGGACCATTATTTCAAATGAAAACTGTAAAATTACTAAATAATAACAACGGAAACAATTATCAATACAATGAATTATTGATTTCTACTCTAACATTACTCACTGAAATAGTAGCATTATGTAGTAACGATGAAGGTAAAAATTATTGATTAATATGTGTCATCAACTAAACTATAGTTGAATTTTCTTTTAGCATTATTATCAATTATTCCAATTGTTTTATATTTGTTACTATCAACAGCTTGTGTTCTTATCACATTAAAAGTAGAAACGAATGATCACGTTTTCTCAATTATAACTCAGTTATTAAATAATACATGTAGTACAAATATGAATAGTGATGATGAACAATTAACTAGTATTTTACGTTGTGCAGTAATAACAATAATTAATTATCGAACCGATCGTATGTTAATTACTTTTTGGATATTCAAATTTATTGTTTTCTATTTTTATTTATTTTTTGTTCTAGTTAAAACAAAACAAATTGATGATGGTGGTTATTTTGTTCAATGTATGACATCATTAATAACACATTCAAGTTCTCTTGATTTATTGGTACCTAAAAATATATTTGAATTATGTTTAAATTTTTATAAAGATGCATTTACAGAAGAAATGTATCAGGTAGATAATATTTATTAAAATAATTGTTTAAATGTAATTGTTGTTTTTACATATTTGTAGTCTCGTCTAAGAACATTAAAATCATTGAATATATTATTTCAATATTCTAATTTACATATTCGATGTTTATTCATACAAGAATTTGCACCATCATTATTTATTCAATTGAGTAAAATGCAAAAAACGAATCTCAACGAACAACAACAACAAATCACTATTGAAATATTAAAAATTATTGAAACATTATTTACAATTGTTGATTCCACTCATCGTAAGTGTTACGGTAGATTACAGTGCACGTCAATAGTCTCGCACCGCTTTTTTGTTTTGAGTCGTGTATTAAAACTACACAGCATTAATTTAATTTAATTATATACCTGTATAGTAGAGATCGATTACTCTATATATACATCTGTTTAATACGAAAAACGCTTGAATATAAAATACAATAAAAAAAATAAAGTTCAGTTCTAAGAAAAAAATGACATAAAAAAAGACAAAATGGTATTGTTATTATAGGATACTTTCATATGCAGTCAACCACAAAAAAACGCAAAGTATTCAGAAAACTTTTCGTTTTATCAGACTTTGCAGAGCTTTTTCCGCTGATCATTTTGGATTTCATTGACAAATGACGGTGTTATAGCCAAAATATTAAACACTGTGAAATACCGCCCCCAGTCGAGACTCCCGGCAAAACTCCCACGGGACTCCTGTCACGGGGTCCGGCGGGATCCTGTACGAGTCAGGTGGGACTTTCAAGGAATTTCTCAGGACTCCTGAAGACTCCCGTGCGACTTTGAGGGTTCTGAAGACTTTCGTTGGACTCCCGCAGGACTCGAAAGCTCCACAGAAGTCCCACGGGAGTCTTCAGGAGTCCTGAG